AATCAGTCACATACAACAATCACTGCTGCAGTAAAGACTATTTTCTCTGATCAAACAAACAATGGAGCAACAATTGTGCATTGTTTTAAGCAACCATTGTGCCAGTTTTGTAAATTATGATCCTATTTAGAGGAAAATGTGCATTAAAGCATACACTAGGTATTATTGTAACAGACACCTGACAGTCTCTAAGGCTCTGTCCTGACTTTGGCAGATGTCCTGGCTCCACAAGAAGCTCCAGAATCTCAGCCAAATGATTCAGAACAAACGACAAGTGAGCCTGGTCATCCCAGTTCTGGAGAAAACAAAAAACAAACAAAAAAACAAAATAAATCAACACATCACTGTCTCTGGTCTCAGAAGGAAACTCATTTGTCCAATTAATTGGCCGGTGCATTAAAGAGGACCTTGTTTTGAGAGCTGGTCTTAGACTCTCTGTCTGATGGTGATGGAGAGCGAGCACGATGACTGGGCCACTCTTCTCCAATCAGCGAAGTTCGTAGGGAAACACGGTTCAATTGCTGGATGTAGAGGAAAAGGAGAAACTGCAGCGTGTCCACTGACATCTGAAACAATAAGTTATATTATTAATGCAGTAAAACACATTTAGTTTATAGTCTTATATATGCAGTGACTCTTAATAAGTACAATTATGACAAAAGTGACGAATTGCATATAATTATGTTGTGTAATATGACTTTTCTTGGTGCCTAGATAATTAATTTTTTTTTTCCTCTTACAAGGAATTAAAAATTAACCATTATGAGAACTTCAAGAGAAAGTTCATAGACCTTTACACCAATTTTACAGCTTGTTTTCTGCACACAACTGCATTACTCCAGAAGACACAGGTTCTGTGTTACATCATCAACCTTACCTGAGGCTAAATACTCACACACACACACACACCCACCCACTCATACAAAAGATGTAAACTGGGACATAGAGACTAAATTACATGTCTAGGTAAACTGATATTTGGATATTTGTCCCTAAGCCTAACTCACCTTACTCCTCTGTTGATCCAGCTCAGTTTTGGAGGAGCATTGGGAAAGACATTCGGCCCACTCAAGCCTCTCCTCTGCCGTGTGTCCCTGAAGAAGGTCAAAAGTCTCAAAGTAGAGCCAAGCTAAATCATCTGGAAGCTGTAGCTTTCCACAGGCGATGTGTCTCCACATGGGCCAGCCCAGCATGGGGAAACTTCCTTCCCGTGTCCGCACATAGGTTGCCATTTTGCGCAGGTAGTGAAGGCCCAGTTTGGAGGAGGGTGCCACCTGACATAGGTAATAGGTGTGGTGGTATGAGAGTCAACTGATAACTATAAAATATAAATTTGACTTGTTATGGTATAATCACCTGCAGGGCCCCGAGTAAGAAGGGCTCCATACGTGGCCATATGCTCACGCTGTCTTCTTCCATGCCTGCAGTGGGATAAAAAGCAAAATAAGGCAAGAAAAGAAAAACAACATGCTTTTAACAGCACAGAACCAAATCTCCTCCACAACACTAAGACTTGTTCTGTTCAGCTATACAAGGTTGAATTTACCGTTTTGTAAGCATCAGCTTGACACACTATGTAATAAGTTGTGACCAAAGCCTGGCTCAACAGCATGAAAGAAAACTATCGAGCCCTAATACAAACTAACACAGTCGAGAATAGACATGACGTAATGTGATGTTAACATAGGGTCTAGTTGTCATATGTGTGTTGTTATCACTTTAAAGTATTTAATTTGTCTTCTTCTTCTGTGTTGTGCATTTTAAACTTGGCTGCAGTTAGCAGCAGGTGCTAACAATCATAAGTTCTTACTTCCTGATCCCAGTTCCAACGACAGCGGCGGTTCCGTGTCTGAGGGAGGAAGTGAGTCCGTGGCTCAGGTCAAACAAGTTGTCAAACAAGCATGTTAAATGTGAACTTAATTTAATACAAATCGAATCGAACACATAATAAGGCACGGATTTCCATTTTTCTCCTCCTTTCCCTTCTTCCTTATTAGACCCCTCCTACTTGGCGCGCATTTGTTGTGCGACCGCACCGTCTGCGGGATACTTCCTGTCATGCGCATTTTTCGTACATTACAGGACAAAAAATGCGTTAGACTGGAGACAGCTGTGAAACTAGAGATTCGTTGAGAAATGCATTGAAGACAAAGAAAGGGAAGAATTAATAACAGTAAAGTCACCTAGGACTGTTAACAGAAATAAATAATTAAAATTGTATTTTTTGTCGGGCAAAATTATTTTAAACGTATAATAGAAATTAATGCGGATTTAATGGATTTTTTTTTAAAAAATAAAATAAATAATTAAACTTATATTATTATAGACTGTTATTATTATAGACTGAAATATAAAATCAAAACACGTTTGTCCAAAACAAGGCCGAACTCACGAATGGGGCTGGGATTTGCATATGTGGGCGTGGTCGTAAGTGTTCAGTGGGCGGGTTTTCTGTGACAGCCGGAAAAAGAACTGTGTGACTGACAGCTAGGTTAAACCTTCAGTAGCCGGCTGACTTTACCTGGTACTACCAGTGACACTGGGATTTAAACATATGGCAACCAAAGGGATGAATGTGTGCAGTATTTGCTGCCTTCTTCTCTATTTGATCGCCGCGGTGTTTGCTGGGTAAGTGACTGCGTGTTATTAAAGTCGATGCTTGAACTACAGCCGAAGCAGCAGCAGCATCTCCATCTGGTACACATGTTCCACTGTGATTGGTCTATACCCGATCTATATGTGAGGAGTAAACTGAAACAAACGGCGTTGCCAAGCACACCTGCTAATACCCCAGTGTTAATGTTAAATCACATCTACTAATATGGGCTTCTCTATTAAAACGTTTTGATCCAGCATCTCTGTGCGATCACGTATAAGATGAGCATGCTAATGGCTAGCCCAAAACTAAAATAACCGGCATTAGCTAGCATTAGCATTTAGCCAGGTTCTTGTAGAATCTTACCTAAAAGTAGAGATTTTTTGTTGATTCAATAAATATTTATGATCGTAGGGACGTATGTGAGAATTTACATTGTGCTGGAATAAGTACATTTTTTTCCTTATGAAATGTTATCCATATAACAGTTAGCAAAACCTCACTACTACTGGCAAATTGATAGTCAGTTTTCGAAAAACGTAAAGAAACTTGAAAAAATATTGCCAAACCTGCCGACGTAAGACCTACTTTGTAAACGTTTAATAACCTTAACAGAGTAAACGTGTAATAGCTTATGGCAGTTCAGGGTAAAGTTTCTTTTTAAGTTTACTGAAAAATATATATAAAAAAATCAATATCAATCGGATTCTGTCTGTCATATTTCTTTCATATGAAGGCGAGATTTTTATCAAATCTTGGGCGTAAGTAAGACCGCGTCAGTCCGGGACATAAAGAAGGCCTATAGAAAACTGGCTCTTCAATTACACCCGGACCGGAACCAGGACGACCCGAAAGCCCAAGATAAGTTTGCGGATCTGGGAGCTGCGTACGAGGTGAGTCTGGTCAATGTCGGTGTTTTAACTATACAGACGTAGTTATTTCTGTGTGGACATGATAAGCCAAGTGAACAGGTAACACACACGTACAAGCTATTTTAGCTGTTGTTTGGTTGTTGTAGGAAACAGACACGCCGACTGTGATTGGTCCACAAGACCGTGTGGCTGCATTTGATTGGCTGCTCATGCTTTAGTCGTAAAGCCAGACGTGGATCAATGGGAGTAGATATACAAATCAAAAACTTAAGCATTTCCTGATATTTAGTGTCGAAACATTGCATAAATTATCTATATAATATATTACCACAGGGGAAAATAAAGATTTAAAATGAACATTTTCTTTTTGTTACTGTGAAATACTCCTTTCATTTTTATTTTTAATATCTTGGTTAACTTTTCCTTACAGTTTTCCTTATATTTAACATTTTGGCTGTTTTTCATTGAGATATTTTAACACATCTTTTAATGGCTATTTTTTTTGTTACACATGTCAAACAAAAGAAAGGCATGTTTTGTTACCCTGCTCCGTTTTAAAATGTGTCGATGTAACGATATACCATGTGTGTGTATATTTTTGTAGGTTCTTTCAGATGAAGAGAAAAGAAAACAGTACGACACGTATGGAGAGGACGGACTTAAAGAAGGACACCACAGCTCACACAATGACATCTTTTCTAGGTTAGTTTCATCCTATAAACATTTGTAGACATTTTGTTCAAGTTGTAGTTGTTGCTAATTGAACCAAAAATCTCCAGGTTATTTACATCAGCTATGAAAACATTTTTATCAATATATTAGATGAAGTGACTTACCTCATAAAATGTTGTGTGAATAAAAACATTCAAAACCAAATACACAATATGGCATGTTTTTCACTACAGTTTTTTTGGAGATTTTGGTTTTATGTTTGGAGGAAACCGCCAGCAGCAGGACAGAAACATTCCCAGAGGAAATGACATCATACTAGACCTGGAGGTCACACTGGAAGAGGTGTATTCTGGGAACTTTGTAGAGGTAAGCAAACATTTTGGAATTCCAGAACGTAATTTGTCAATCATTTGCTTGCTGCAAGTTTACCTAATTATGGATTTTTAAAAAAAATTACATTTGACTCCTAGGTTGTTCGTAACAAACCTGTAGCTAAAGAAGCCCCTGGAAAGAGGAAATGTAACTGCAGACAGGAAATGAGGACGACGCAGCTTGGACCGGGACGTTTCCAAATGACCCAAGAGACGGTGTGCGACGAGTGTCCTAATGTGAAGTGAGTCGGAAAAGATCGTACAAAAATACAAGCGTGTTATCTAAAAAAACAAATTTCCTCCGATTTGCGCGAACCTCCGTTTAAAAAAAGCTGTTTCTGATGTGTGTATTTTTTGTCTCCAGGCTAGTGAATGAAGAAAGAACCCTAGAGGTCGAGATTGAACAGGGAGTCAGAGATGAAATGGAATATCCTTTCATCGGAGAAGGTAAAGTTACATGAAGCTTATATTTAGCATTGTTGTCCGGTCATATACTTATCCGCAGAACGTTGCGTTTACATCTGTTATGTCACCACAGGAGAACCTCACATCGATGGAGAACCTGGAGATCTTCGCTTCCGCATCAAAGTCTTAAAGTTTGTTGTTTTCCTATTTAAATTACTGTCACTAACAAACATCAATATTAACCTTTTCTTTTCTTTTTTTGTTACAATTTTTTTGGTTACTACCTTGGCTATTTTAGCTAAGTCGTACAGGCTAACTTTTGGATATTTCTAGTTATTATTTGGTGATGTGTACTTATTTGTCTTACTTTTAGTCCATATCCAGTTGACTTTTATTTTTGCACTGACATTCTCACACACATTTTTATTTTGAAAAAGGCTTTTAAGTTTTTTGAGCTAACATGTTGTGGCTAACTTCCTGTTTGTTTACAAATGTGAGAAATGTATTTTTATCTTTAGTTTTTTTTTTTTCTAATTGAAAGAAACTAGGTTTAATTTAACTTGAAGGACGAAGACAGATATTTTTATCAGTCATTTTTGGCTCAGCTATTTCCTTCATTGTTTCTTCAGGCACCCAATGTTTGAACGAAGAGGAGACGACCTCTACACCAATGTCACCATTTCCCTGGTGGAGGCGCTGGTCGGCTTCGATATGGACATTGTACATTTGGATGGACACAAGGTAAAAGTTATGAAGTCCCTCCTCATTAATACTTTTTAGGTTTCAAACCGTTGGCCCTACTACTTACTACAAATCCAACTTTTCCCCCTCATGCTCAAAGGTCCATATAGGGAGAGACAAAATCACCAAACCTGGTGCCCGCATGTGGAAAAAGGGTGAAGGACTGCCAAACTTTGATAACGTCAACATCCGAGGTTCCCTTATCATCACCTTTGATGTAGAATTTCCTCAGACGCAGCTTGATGAGCAACAGAAAACTGGTAAGAAAAAAAAAGAATTAGTGTCCAGTTGTTACTGCAACTGTTAAATAAATCTTTCCTGAGTGACTATGATTTAATTTGACCCCCAAAAATCGCTTAGGTGACCAATAGGTTGATTTTAGCACAGTACACCTGAAAACTACAGTAATACCTTGAGACACGAGCATAATCCGTTCCAGGACAGAGTTCGTAACTCGAGGTGCTCGTATCGCAAATCATTTTTTCCCATTAGAAATTAACAGAAAAGAATTAATCCGTTCCGGCCCTCTAAAAGAACTCCCTTTATTAGTGCTAATAACAATGGAGAAAAAAATATGTTTTTAACTGCTATAGAGACATATATACACACAAAATTGATAGTATATAAGGATTCCTGTGATATAAAATAAAATGGAGGAGGAGGAGGGAGGGAGAGAGGGAGGAAAAGAAGAGAGTCGGCCAGTACGTAGACACTTGATTCCGTACTGTACTTTTTGTTTTTGTTTTTTCTCTTTTCAATTTGTATTCTTTCTTTAGCGGACACCACGCTCATATTTATCGACAATTTCCAAAGCTTCATTTCCATGGTCATCGTGCGTTTTTTCTTCTCACTACCATCCTTACCACTCACTTTCTTAGGACGCATCACTATGATGAAGAATAATGCACAAAATAGAGAGAAAATCACGTAGATAACGCAAACACAATACGGAAGACTCGCGGAAGTCGACGAACACGTGAAGTGAACGAGTGAGGCGAATTATCCACCTAGCGTCGGCGTCGTCTGTAAGCGTGCTCGTCTCTCAAATCTTTACTCGTATCTCGAAGCAAAAATTTGCTCAAAGGGTTGCTCATATCTCGGGACGCTCGTTTCTCAAGGTATTACTTCGTCTCGGAAGTATCTCGGAATACTTGCATGTCGGGACGCTCGTTTCTCAAGGTATTACTTTGTCTCGGGAAAAAAAAAGAATCTGTCTTATATCTTTGCAATATTTATTTGTTTTGTTGTGTGTTTGCAGGACTTCGAAGTCTACTGAAGCAGGGATCTGTACAGAAGGTCTACAACGGACTACAAGGATATTGATGATAAACTGAGCACACAGCCTGGACTGACACACACACACAGAATCAGACACACTCAGACAAACACCATCAGAAACCAGGAGCTAGCTCCATCCTCCTGGTCGGGGTGTATTTATTCTTCTCGATGTTGTTGTTATTATTTACGGATTGTTCTCAGGACAAACAGGATCCACTTTTATTAATGTATAAAAACCCAGCATGGGTTTAACTGATGGACAAGCTGCCACAACGTGTTTTTTTTTCTTTTGTTTTTTTTAACTATACTAAGGCCTGCACCCCTCGTTTTTTTTAAAAAAACAAACAAACTTCATTAATTTCTTCATGTCTACACAATCTCTCAATGATTTTTTTTTCTCTTGTCAAAAAATCTCTGTAAATAGGGAAAAAATTCAGTTCTTATGTCTTTTTTTTCTCTCCTCCACACTCCTTAATTTATGTAATTAAATTCAACGCATCCCAACAGGAGAACAGTCTGGGTTCGTCAGCGTGTCGCCCTCCAGTGTCACCTTTGATAAAGAGTTGATCTCTTGACCTTACACTGAAGTGAAATAAACAATTCAGGAACGTTTACAGTTTCTTACTAACGGTTCTGCACGCCGTCTACTGGTGCACCTCTGGTTTGAGTCTCGTTATTGTTTTTGGTTGTGTTGTTTTTGAACAATGACTGCCTTCGGATTTTTACTGAGACTGTTACGGTTTGAATGTAAATACTTTGGCAGTTTTTACTGAGTGCTGGAGGGGTGGTGATGATCTTTTGAGTGACAAAATAAAAATTTCTACAAATTCCGGTGACCTGTTATATCTCAGATTGAGCAGCAGATGGCGCCAAAGTCAAGTGTAAGTGAATCATAACGCTGGGTTCTAACGTTTGAGAAAAGCCAGTTTAAGCAAACGCCTGTAATAATACGGAATATGTAAAATAATAGCAAATATTTACAGATGCAAATGTACGGAAAGGTAAATTAATCGGTAAACATTTTAACTAATAGCTAGTATATAACTGACTTTGGCAGTTTGCCTTTTTGCTGCACAAGTATGACAGATGCAACCTAAAAATGAACACGGATCGATTTTGTGGTCTCAAAGTGATATCACGTAAATTACAAAAAAATAAAAATAAAGTGCTATCAAATTTGGTAAAGAAATATAGAGATGTGATGAGAAAAATATAGGGTTTTTTTCCCCTGAGCACTGAGCAAAAATCAGAAAAAATATGGTGGTTTTTTCCCCTGAGCACTGAGCAAAAATGTCAACAGGAAGATATTTGAGAAAAGACGTTTCTGGAACTCATTAGATATGACGCAATACACCATGTGATATAAATGATATCGTAATGTAAATAGAGGTCTCCATTGTTATTAATAATAATAATTGTTTTGTTTAATGAACTACCCTGTCTTTAAAATGTTTGTTTTGGAGGATAAAATTAGGATTAAGATTAAGAAGTATTGTATTCGTCCCACAATCGGGAAACTTACCGTGTTGACCGCAGCACAAGGTAAGGTAAGGTATAAGGTAACTACGTTGAGATATGGCAGTTCAAAAATAGACGACTAATACAGAAAACAACACAGAGAAACGAAGACTGTGAATAATGACGGCCAAGCGATTCTATATATCACGGTTTTAAAATCGCAGTTGATACTGCGCATGACAATATTTATCGACCAATAAAGTATTGCTTTCCGAGCCAATCACAAAACATTAACCATTAAATATGATATAATTTCGTCATAAAAAGCAATGAAATGTTTTTTTTTCAAAAAATGTGATTAGAAACTTGTTTTTTAGTAATTTCGTCATTAAAAGCAATAAAATGTTGTTTTAAAAAAAAATGTGATTAGAAACTTGTTTTTTTAAAACAAAGTCATCAGAAAAGAAGTACGTGGTATTTCACAGCTCCCGTTGCGTGTATAACGTGTGTGTATGTGTGTGTGTGTGTGTGTGCGTGTGCGTGATGAACTCCCACGGAGATAGCAGAGCTGTGGTGAAGATGGGAGTTTCCTCCCTACTCCACCACAGCTCTTACTCATTATCAAGTTGTGGAAGTGAGAAGAGAAAATTTGTGACCAAGAAAAAAAAAAAAAAAAAAGAAAAAAAAGAAAATCCTCCATCTAAATTATCTTTCAACCTACACGTGTCGCTATTCTTCACAATTTGCTTTCACGATACAACTTGCTACAAAGTTGGTCCAGAAATAGCTGAAATAAAATAATAATAAAAAAAAATCTAAATATTATAAAATGGCTAATAACCATTCTTCAGATAACTAATGTTTGTTGGTTATATTTTGACCCCCCCAAAAAAATTACCCAGAATTTTTTTTTTTAAAACGTCACTACATTTTAACAGTAAATAAAACCTTTGGAAGGAAACTGGAAAATATCATTTAAACAAACTTGAAAGAGTTGTGTTTCGAAGTTGTGACCGAACACTGCCACAGACTGCACCTTTAATCCAGCCTGAGACCGTGAGTCTGGGAGCAGCCGACGGACTCCCTGTGATCACAGCCGTCATCAGTCACAGACTGGGGGAATAAAAATCTCTCTGTTGTGTCTCTGCGGTAATCGTGTGTTTTCCTCTGATGCTTGCGTGTCCTCGTGTGTTCTCTCCCTGTCTTAATTGTGTTCTTTTGTGTCTCTCTCTCTCTGTCATGTGTTTGTGTCTAAACTCTCGTCTTTGCTCGGTGTCATTTTCCACCTAACTGCTTGTTTTGTGGTTGTTGTTTTTTTTCGTGTGTGTCTTTTTCGTCCTTTTCGTCTTGTGTTTTTTTTTTCCCGCCTTTCATCTCCGCTGTTATGTCTGTGATTTAAGTATCTGCTATTCCTTTTCCTTTTTTTTTTTGTTGCTAAGTTTTGAATTATTTATTTATCTTAACCGTTGTTTTAGCCACTTTAAATACGTATCTTCGCACAATTTGATTTCAAATGTGTTTTTGTCGTGTTTTTGGGTCTGTTTGTTTGGGTCATTTATGTGTGTTTCTTCTTTTTTTTTTGGCATTCTGTGGGTATTTTGTGCCTCATCCTTACATTATTGTAATTTCAGCCATTTTGGTCTCATTCATTTTGCAGCGTTTAAGGCAGGCGTGGGCAAACTATTTGACTCGCGGGCCACAGTTGGTCCTAATCTTGAACAGGCAGGGCCGGGTCAGGAGCAGAGAGATGGAGCGTTCGTGTGAACTAAGATAAATGACATGTAAGAGTCATGCATAAAGGCTAAAATGCTAAAATTCTTTTATCATTTTCTACGCCATCTATTGAGGAAAAGTGGCTATTGCAGGGAAAAGGGAGTATAACGATAATATAAATAAATTATATAATTTTGAAAAGTTTGGCGGGCCGTATTAAAAAGCTGAACGGGCCGCATCTGGACCCCGGGCCTTACTTTTTCCCATGCCTGGTTTAAGGGAACTTTAACGCAGCTTTGGTCGGTATTTGTAATCATTATGTCTGATTTTACTGTTGAAATGTCTGTTTATTATTTTTCCTATCTATTTGATGTCAAATTAATTAGTCTAATCTTTACATCGCTTTGTCTTCCATATTTTTTTTATGATTTTTTCTTCTTCTTCTTGTTACATATTTCTGCTTCATTGTGTATCTTTCTGTGGCCCTTTTTCGGTCTTTTGATTGACTTTACTTCGACCAAATATTGGCCACATTGTGGTCATCTCTACATCAAAGTCCTTTCATGGAACTGTTGTTCATTTTTTGCCGCAGACTACACAAAGAAAAGACTGAGACTCGGTCCGAACTTGAATGATGAGAACTCCTGGCGGGGAAATCTTTTTATTCATTTATTTATTTATTTATTTATTTTTTAATTCGACGTGGGTGTTACGTGACCCTCGCTGCAACTTTCTGACAACTGAATGATGTCTGGAGAATTTACCTCCGAAACTGAACTGAACTGTACGTACACCTGCAGTTGCCGATATGGGATCGCTGGAGGGCAGCATTGGCTCTTTAGTGAGAGCGGGGCTCGAACGAGCGTGCGCGCGCTTGCAGCAGCACCGTGCGCGTGCTCCACTTGTTGATGCAGATAAGCTCGGGATCACACTTGACCCTGACTCTAATGACTTGAAAGAGGAGCTGCGGAGTTTACAGAGGAACAGACCCCCCCCCCTCTCTCTCTCTTACGCACTCACTCACTTTCTCTCTCTCTCTCTCTCACTCTCTCTCTGTGTGTGTATCCGTGTGTGTGTGAGTGTGAGTGTGTGTTGGCGCCGCGGGCTCTGTCGCTCTGACTCGACTGTGTGCTCGGTTAATGGAGCCTGACCCCAGAGAAACAGGAGCGGATCATTACTGGCTGCAGAAACACAGACGTATTTTTCAAACATTTCTGACTAATGAGCAAGAAAATATCAAAAAAAAAAAAGAAAAAAGAAAAAAAAACTTTTCACGTACTCCGTTAAATGCAGTATGAATATTACTGTCTATGATATGATCCGATCAATAGGTTGTAGCATTTAGGTGCAGATAATTAAAAAAAAAAAACATAGAATGTGACTGTTCGGATAAACCTAACATTCAGGGTTTTTTTTTTTTTTTTAATTTGTAGTATTTTCTTTACTTTTATTGATCCTACACTTGGGAAATTCTTGTGTTAACAGCAGATCTCCTACCGCAGGCCGCCCCTTGGAGGCGCTAATTATGTGGTTCCTCAGGGGATCGACCCCAGGACTTTCGGCTTCCGAGGCAGACGTGCTAACCGCCACGCCATCGAACCACCAAACTATGGTGGTCAGTGGTCACTGTTGTCTGCGTCTCCTTGCTACGGTCAGTTCCATAGCACGTCTAGCTGCAGAAACCGTAAGCAGGTGGTCTCGGGTTCGATTCCCAGAGTATTCTGCTGTTTAAACAACAATTGACCAAATATGGGATCAATAAAGTTCAAATTATTATTAAGATGCTCCAGACATTCTAATAGTAAGTGAAGTCACCCGGTGGCAGGCGGGAGTTACTGCACCACTGTAGACCCTTCTAATTTGAGGGCCATGCTGTGCTGTATATATCTCTGAAAAAGTCACACATTTGCAGACCCTTTGTGTCACGTCTCTGATTCTCTTCTTTAGACCAGCACAGATACTGGACCTAACATTAGTGACGGAGCAATCTGTGGATCAACAAGATTATTATTTGTGTATACCAGGGGTCAGCGACCTTTTTGAAACTGAGAGCTACTTCAAGGGCACTTAGTAAAGTAAGAGCTGTTTGATACAGACTTCCTGAACAATGTAATAATAATCAGTTCTGGGACATCCAATAGTAGACACTCGTCTTACCAGTACAATTTCATGACCCTCTTGTTGACTAGTTTTATTTTTAGAACAAACCCCGCAGGCACCTTAGGTAGTCCACGAGGGCTACCAGGTGACCCCGGGCACCACGTTGGTGACCCCTGCTGTACACAATAGTCGGCGATAAAAAAAAAAACAATTTACAAAGATTAGCTCATGTCAGTTTACATTCAGTAAATTCAGTGTCATAAAAGTATGTTTTTTAGGATATTTAAAAAAAAAAAAAACGTTTATGAAAAGAAGGACATTGTGAAGGCACTAAAACCCCCGTGGTCCCGTTTCCTGTAACAAATTTACTGAGAGTGAATAAATCTGCGACCAGAAATCTGCGACATTTTAACTCATATTTACAGATGCAAAAGTTTTTTTTTTTT